TCGTGACGTCGAGATGTTCGGCCATTCCAAAGGGCGGCGGCTCGTTTTAGCTCTGGGCGCAGTCGTGGCTGCATGCGTTTACGAGAGAACGCGAGGACAGCGGCTCCAAGGTGCTATGGGGCGTGAGTCCCTTCGAGACTAAAAATAAAATATCGATTTCTTCGGGTGCAGAGATGCGCGGTCCGAAAGGAAAGTGGCTCTGGATATCAAGTGTTACAGGTGCAATGGAACGAGATAGTGAGGATTGCAATAGGTGTCAAACGAGTACAAAGTATGAGCAAAGGCATGAGCGAAGACGTGTGAAAGCATGCAATGGTTACGCGGTGCGTGCGAGCTAGCTAGTGCTAGGCCGGCATCGAGGTTCGGGCTAGTCCCGAAACGTAAACCGACTCGGCCAGGCCAGCGGTGCATGTTTGGCAAAACAGTGTGCGCAAGGTTGGCGAAGCCCCGTTAGCAGTGACGGGCGAACAACGGCAGCAGCTGTACGCGATGTTGAAGAACGCAGTAAGGAATGCCAACAAATTCCTTGCACATAAATATATAAACGACTCACCAATACCGTTTCAAACCGAGCTCCCACTGTACTTGTAACCCAGTCACACTAACATGCCCACGTCGCGGTGTGCAGTAATCAACTAGTCCAGGTTGTCTGAACGATCTCAACTTGACGCTACACGTATTCCTTCTGCTGCTGAAACCATTTCTGCCAGCTAGCATCTTATCGCACATAGCAATTCTATTTGTGTGTGCTGAGCTCCTCCATCCCCGCAGCAGAAATCCTTGCATTTTCTGCTCTGTCCGTCTCAGTCGACCCGCCTGCGCCGCGCATCATGGCCAACCCGCTCCTCACGCCGTTCACTCTCCCCGATGGCACGGAGCTCTCGATGCGCATGGTCTACGCGCCGCTGACGCGCGACCGCGCCCTCGGGACCATCCCGCAGCCGAACGCCGCGACTTACTACTCGCAGCGCGCGCACAAGGGCGGGCTCATGCTCACCGAAGGCACGTGCATCTCGCCCGAGGCGCACGGGTACCCCGACACCCCGGGGATCTACACGGAGGCGCAGATCGCGGCGTGGAAGCCGGTGATAAAGGCGGTGCACGACAAGGGCGCGCGCTTCTACTGCCAGCTGTGGCACGTCGGCCGCGTGTCGCACCAAGGTGAATCCCGCTCGTGCTAAGGTGTCCACGACAGCACCAAAGCGATTTTTTATTCCTGCTCACACCTCACCGCAACAAGTTCAGACACCTCACTCATACCTCCCCTCTCAACAACCCACCGCCACTCTTTCTCCCCGCCCCATCCTCCCCCCCCCCCCCCCCCTCCCCCTCCTCTCGCCCATTCCTGTGATTCCGCGTCCCCTCGCCTCTCCACCTCGCCAGGACGGCTCCAACAACTGCAAGGACGAGTTTGGAGGGTCCCTGGAGAACAGGCTTCGCTTCCCCCTGCAGGTGGGTCCAGCTGTTGCGCCCTGCAGGTGGGTCCAGCTGCTGTGACTTGAGGGAGGATTGTCGGCCAATTGTGGTGTGTGGAAACTTCACCCATGGGGTTGAGTGCATGGGTCGCTGGTAATAGACTGTCAGTGCCCCCTACCTTTTTGTTATCTTGAGACGGTTGGGCTGTAGCGAGACGTTGAAAACAACCCTCTTCCCCCCCACCTCCTCCCCCCATCTCCTTCCCCTTTCTTCCTCCCATCTCCCCCACATCCCCCCCCTCCGCCCCCCCAATCCCTTCCCCCCACATGCAGGTGATCAAGGCAGTGGCGGACGAGGTGGGCACCAGCATCCCCCCCTTCTTACTCCCCCCATTTCCCACCCCCCTCCTCCCTCCATCCCCCCCCCTCTCCCCTCCCCCCTCCCCCAGGCGATCAAGGCAGTGGGCGCTAGAAAGGTGGCAAATGAGCGTCCTTTCCACCCCACCACGCCTCCCCATGCCCCCCCCGATTCCATTTCCAGATGATCAAGGCAGTGGCGGACGAGGTGGGCGCCAGCAAGGTGGCTCAAAACTCATCCCCCTTCCCCCCTTGCCCGCCTGCCACCACCCCCGTTCCCCTTCCCTCCCCTCCCCCAGGTGTTCAAGGCAGTGGCGGACGAGGTGGGCGTGCGGCTGTCGCTGTACAGCACCTTCCTGGATGAGACCGACTCCGACCCCGTCGCCACCTACGTGGGGCTCGTGGAGCGGCTGAACGGCCTGGGGCTGGCCTACGTGCACTTCATTGAGGCGCGCGTGCGCGGGAACGACGACATGGAAGTTGAGAAGGAGGTGAGCGGTGCTTGTGTGTGAAACAGTTGAGTGGGTAGTGACAGGCACTGGGATGGTTGAGGCCGTCAACAGCTTGGGCCTGGCATGTGTGCATTTTAATTGAGGCGCGCGTGTGCGGCAACGATGACACGGCGACTGTGAAGGAGGTGCGCGATGGGTAGGTGGTCGGTGTGAGGGTTGTCTGGCTCTCTGGCTCTCTTGCTCTCTGGCCGTAAGGCTGTTTGGCTTGGCGTATGTGCAATTCATCAAGGCGCACGTGCGTGGCAACGATGACATGGAAGTTGAGAAGGAGGTGATCGGTGTGTAGGCGAGCGGTGGGTGTGTGAGGGCTGTCTGGCTGTGAGGCTTGGCGTTCAGGCTGTGAGGAGGGCCGCGAGCAAGGGAATGACGACCTGGATGTTGACAAGGAGGTGAGAGGCGAGGAGGAGCTCCCTTGTTGTGAAGGGAGTGAGGTTCGAGGCTGTGAAGGAGACGGGGTTGGGCTGTGAAGGAGGTGGGGTTGGGGTGGGATACGTAAGGCATGGTGGTGGTTGGTGTGGGTGGGAACATAGCACAAATCACTCTATGCTTGCTTACTTCCGCGCCTTGTCATTTGAAATGGGGCTTACGAAATGCTCAAGGGGTCTTAATGTTTCTTGATACCCGTTGACGTGTGGCCACCTACACACTTCACTCTGTGCCTCTCACTATATCTGCAGACTCTGGAGCCATTCCGCAAGGCATTCAAGGGGCCATTCATTGCTGCTGGCGGCTTCAAGGTATGCTGGGTCCAGTCTGTTGTGACACAAGTGCTGCATTGGCGTGTTGACTCCTCTGTTGTGGCAAGGCATGTTGCATGTAGGGCAATGCAAGCACCAGAGCTTGTTGTGCTGTTGCTGATGTGCATAAGGTGAATGTCATGGTGTGATTGTAAAGCAATGGATCCTGTAGTTTCTTACGGTGTTACAACACGTACCTTTTGTGTGCTGCATTCTATCCATAGTCTGTGCTTCCCTTCTACCATGAAACCCCTGTAATCACGCATGCACACAACCCCACCCTCTTCCGTCCCTATCTCCACCCCCTCCATCCGCCACTGTGCTCTCCTCTCCCGTCCCCTTCCAATTCCCAACTGTTATCCAAATCTCCAGCGCGAGAGCGGCATGGCAGCCATTGAGAGCGGGGCGGCGGATCTGATCACGTACGGCCGGCTCTTCCTCGCCAACCCCGACCTGCCGAGGCGCTTTGAGCTCAACGCGTACGACCGCATCACCTTCTTCATCCCCGACCAGGTCAAGGGGTACATCGACTACCCTTTCCTGGAGGAGCCTAAAAAGGCTGAATAGATGGGGACCTGTGTCTGACAAGAAGCATGTTGGTTCCGTAAGTGCCGTCACAGAACCTTCTTTATTGGAGATCAGGTCAAGGGTTACTATACTAATATCTGCTCCCGGATGAGGAGCCGGATAAGACTTATCGTAAAGGGATCTGCTACTATGTCAACAAGAACGCAAATGTTATTATGACACGAATCTTTAGGGTAGGTCATTTGCAGTAAGATCATTAAACATCTTAGAGAACCAATTAGAACAAATTTGGTGTACGAGACACGCTTTTGTGCTTACATCAACTCCTTAAAGCTTTTGTATACATTTGAAAAAGGGAGGTTCAAAAGTTTTGAAATTTGAAAGATTGGTAACCCAGCAACAGCTAGTTTCACTCGCTTCATAAGGGAGGTGATCTCCCCGACACCCAGGGCTCACAGGTGATTCAAAACTTTTGGAATAACAAAAGTAGACGAAATCCAGTCCATGTGAGATCTACGCCACTACGCTCAACAGGCAGCATAAACCGTAGCTAAGCACATCGCGACTCAACAGCCAGCGCAAACCACTCCCGTTTCAGACACAAACTTACCGTAAACCCCCGTATATAAGACCCTAGGGTATTATGATAATCTGGCCTTAAAAAGTTGGGGGGTATAATTAAATGGTACATATTTTATAAGACCCGGGTCTTTTCAAATTGACTTCTATAAGTCTACTGTTTTGGAGCTCAAAGAAGTGAATTGGAATTGCTCCGTTTTTAGCACCTCCCAAATATACTCGAACTGGTCTCTTCCTGGGCCAAACCCACATCATCACGTACCCTATCTAAAAGCCTCCTCCCATTGGGCACAAGCATCACTTGGTGTTGACATAAGCGAGAAGGGCACCGTTTGATGGGCCCGGCGCGCAGTGTCGCCTCGACCTGCACACCCCATCCACGCTTCGTGCGATCCTATACGGCGGGAGCTTCAGACTCCCGTACTGTCGTCTGGCACGTCCTTGTTTTTGAGGGCTGACTTCACTTCCTCCTCCAGTTTCTTCCCCCCTTACTGTGCTCGGCTGGCTGCCATCTAAAAGATGGTTGTCTGTACCTGAACATGGAATAGGACCATTTTCCATTGCATTCGCTGAAAATACACACTTCTCTAGGATGTGGGGGGTCTTATAATGTCAGGAGCCATTTAGGGGGGTATAACTCGGATAGACTCGAATAGAGTACCCCCCTCCGTATTATAGACCCGGGGGTCTACAACTGGAAGGGGTCCTATATACGGGGGTTTACGGTAGACGCGTGGGGCAGTTTAGTGTAATTACACGTCCGAGCCAACGTCAGTTCCGCCCTCTGACACGGCGAGCCCGCCGGACCTCCTCTCACAGCCTCGCCTCGTCGTCCGTCGCGTCGCCTCACCACGCGGCCTCCTCACGCCACCATGAACGCGCACGCTGCGTCTCAAACTGCCGAACACAGTCCTCACAGTCGCCGCCCGATCGCGCGGCCTCGCTACCGCGTTTCCGCAGTAGCGGCGGCAGCCGCAATTGAGGTCGCGAGGGTAATCAGAAACGACTGCTCCCCGTTTCCCCTTCGCGCCTCCCCGTTTCCCCTTCCCGCCTCCCCAATTCCCCTTCCCGCCGCCCCATTTCCTCTTCCCGCTCCCCATTACCCCTTCGCGCCTCCCCATTTCCCCTTCCCGCTCCCCATTACCCCTTCCCGCCTCCCCAATTCCCCTTCCCGCCACCCCATTTCCTCTTCCCGCTCCCCATTACCCCTTCCCGCCTCCCCGTTTCCCCTTCCCGCCTCCCCGTTATCCCTTCCCGCCTCCCCGTTTTCCCTTCCCGCTCCCCATTACCCCTTCGCGCCTCCCCGTTTCCCCTTCCCGCCTCCCCAATTCCCGTTCCCGCCACCCCATTTCCTCTTCCCGCTCCCCATTACCCCTTCCCGCCTCCCCGTTTCCCCTACCCGCCTCCCCGTTACCCCTTCCCGCCTCCCCGTTTTCCCTTCCCGCTCCCCATTACCCCTTCGCGCCTCCCCGTTTCCCCTTCCCGCCTCCCCAATTCCCCTTCCCGCCACCCCATTTCCTCTTCCCGCTCCCCATTACCCCTTCCCGCCTCCCCATTACCCCTTCGCGCCTCCCCGTTTCCCCTTCCCGCCTCCCCAATTCCCCTTCCCGCCACCCCATTTCCTCTTCCCGCTCCCCATTACCCCTTCCCGCTCCCCATTACCCCTTCCCGCCTCCCCGTTTCCCCTTCCCGCTCCCCATTACCCCTTCGCGCCTCCCCGTTTCCCCTTCCCGCCTCCCCAATTCCCCTTCCCGCCACCCCATTTCCTCTTCCCGCTCCCCATTACCCCTTCTCGCCTCCCCATTACCCCTTCCCGCCTCCCCGTTTCCCTTTCCCGCCTACCGATCCTCTCTTCCTACCAGCCCATCTCCCTCACATTATCTGCACTCTCCTCTCTCCTACCCTCTTATCACCTTCCGTGCTTTTTGTACCATGTCCTGAACCCCGCCATCCAGTGGCGTGTCCTTGAAGCTATCGCCACTCCGTTGCTGCAAGTGCTGCTGAGGCCGAGTGCTCGAAGTTTGTGCGAGCAAAGGCCAGCACTGGGAGGGACCTTGCCTCTTAGCTCCTCGCTTCCTGCACTTCGTTATCTGCGCGTGCTCCTCCCACCTCCCCGGGCGGGCTCTTCTAGCCGACCCGCCACCCTTTCTCTCCCCTTCCCTCTCCCTGCCTATGCACCTCCTATCCCTGCCTATGCACCTCCTATCCCTGCCTATGCATCTCCTTTCCCTACCTATGCATCTCCTTTCCCTACCTATGCATCTCTCGTCCTTGCCTTCACATCACCCCTCCATGCCCTTGCAACCATCTCTCCCGCCTCCCCTACCTGCCTTCAAAACCCTTCTTTCACCTGCCATAACTTTTCATCCACTCCCATCCCCTTCAAGCCCCTCCCATCCCATCCCCTTCCAGTCCCTCCCATCCCATTTCAAACCCTTCCATTCCCCTTCCAGTCCCTCCCATCCCATTTCAAACCCTTCCATTCCCCTTCCAGTCCCTCCCATCCCATTTCAAACCCTTCCATTCCCCTTCCAGTCCCTCCCATCCCATTTCAAACCCTTTCATTCCCCTTCCAGCCCCTCCCATCCCATCCCCTTACAGCCCCTCCCATCCCCTTCCAGCCCCTCCCATCCTTTGCAGGTGACGAGGATAGGGTTGAAAATGATGAGGATGAATGTGACATTGAGGGGTGCGAAAGAGAACGGGAATTGCCCATCGAGATAGATTTTGCAATGAGGGCGTGAGATGCATGTGCATACGATTAGCCACGTGCATGGTACTGAAGAAAATCGGTCTCATAATATTTCTCTTTTATGTATTTAGTGACATGGTTGCGAGGAATCGTTACATCAAACTTGATAAAGTCCAGATAGCTAAATGGCCATAAAAGTTCCTAATATCGTACGGCAAAGCGAGCTCGACAACACACAGTTGGAAGTGTATGCATGCTTGTTGAATCACAATTAGAAGCCGTCAACTAAGCAAGGAGATGCCGCACATGCTGCCTGCTGCTGTTGCATGCCTGGCATTGGTGTGCAGCAGATGGGAGCGAGACAGTGTGGGCCGCTTGGTAGACCTGTTAGTGAGAGGAGTGGGGGGAAAATGAGACGGAGGGAGGGGGCGAGGAAGGGGGAAAAGTGGGCACATATGACAGAGCTCAATCTAAGCCTGGAGAATTGCAAGTGGGGAAAGGAAAGAAAGTACTGAGGGGGAGAAAGAGCAATCCAGTGCACACAAGATACACATTACCTGACCGGCATGCAACCCTAAGAGATTTCCTACCATGCATGCCTCACCATGCCACCCCAGGAACACACAGAGTGCCATTAGTGATTCAAGTGGCATGAAAGACTGTTTGTGTGTGAGCCCGAAGGCAAGCGATGTAATGCGCACAGTACCTGCGGGGTTTGAAACGGGGGTCCAAAGAAGGGCATGAGTATAGCCCTCTGCACCATCTGCCGCTGCAGCCTCCTCACCTCCTCCTCCTCCCTCTCCCTCCGCCTCTCTTCCTCATCCCTCCTCGCCTGCTCCTCCTGCTGCTGCTTCAGTGCCTCCTGATCACGTCATTGCAAAGAGGAGAGGGAGGCATGGGAAACCGAGGTGAGAGGGAGCAGTTGCAATGCACATTGAACTTGGATGCACATCAATCAGCAGGCACACGCACACCTAGCATACGCTGATCCGCCCGCGCCACACCTGATCCCGCCCTCACCTGCATGTCGTGAACATGCACAGCATCCGGACACGTGAACTGAGAGGTAGAAAGTGGGGGACATGTGGGGGAGAAGGGGGGAAAATGAGAGGGTGCAGGGGGGGAAATGATGGTGAGCAAAGGGAAAATGAGAGGGAGCAAGGGTGGAAGTGAGAGGCGGCAAGGGTGGAAATGAGAGGGAGCAAATGTGGAAGTGAGAAGGAGCAGGGGGCAAAATGAAGGGGAGCAGTGGGGGAAATGAGAGAGGGAGAAGGGGGGGAAATGAGGGCGAGAACGGGGGTAGATGGGAGGGAGAAGGGGGGGGGGGCTGAGAGGGAGCAAGGGGGGAAATAAGATGGAGCAAGGGCAGAAATGAGAGGGAGAAAGGGGGGAAGTGAGGGGGAGAAGAGGGGGGGGATGAGAGGGAGCAAGGGGGGAAATGAGGGGGAGAAGGGGGGGGATGAGAGGGAAAAAATGGGGATTTGAGAGCGAGAAGGGGGGGAAATGAGGGGGAGAAGGGGAGGGGGGTAATGAGAGGGAGAGGGGGGGGAAAGGAGAGGGAGAAGGGGGGGACATTTGGGGGAGAAAGGGGGGAAATGAGAGGGAGAAGGGCGGGAAATGAGGGGGAGAAGGGGAGGAAATGAGAGGGAGAAGGGAGGGAAATGAGAGGGAGAAGGGGGGGACATGTGGGGGAGAAGAGGGAGAAATGAGAGGGAGCAGGGCGGAAAATGAGGGGGAGAAGTAAGGGAAGGGATGAGAGGGAGAAAAGGGGGATTTGAGAGTGAGAAGGGGGTGATTTGAGAGGGGGAAGGGAGGGAAACTAGAGGGAGAAGGGGGGAAAATGAGCGGGAGAAGGGGGGAAAATGAGGGGGAGAAGTGCGAGGGAGAAGTGGGGGAAATGAGAGGGAGAAGGGGGGGAATGAGAGGGAGAAGGGGGGAAAATGAGCGGGAGAAGGGGGGGATATGAGCGGGAGCAAGGGGGGAAATGAGAGGGAGAAAGGGGGGAAATGAGATGGAGCACGGGGGGAAAAGAGAGGGAGCAAGGGGGAAAACGGGGGGGAGCAGGGAGGGAAATGGCGAAATGGCTTGTGAGACGAGCAGCGCGAGAGGCGGGCAGAAGGTTCGGCACGCGGCGGGTGAGGTGAGAAGCGGGTGTCGCGCTAAGCGGGTGTCGCGCTAAGCGGGTGTCGCGAGCAGCGGGCTAGGCGAGCCCGCCGAAGGCAACTCGTCGAGGCAGGTAGGTAGGGATTCGACTATTGCACCGCGGCGAGCGAGCAGAATGCAACTCGTCGAGGCGCTCTTGGCAAGGAATCGTCGGGCTCGCCGTATACCGCACGGCGCGCTCGACGAATGCCACGCGACGGCCCGTCCGAATGCCGCACGGCGCTGCAGCTAAAGGGAGTTTGGCGGGCTCAATTGATTGACCTAGTCGTGGCTAGCACCTATAAAGTGTGTCATTACTCAACCTCAACTATTCGAGTAGTCGCACTGTTCCGCTAGCCACCTCGTCGCCTTCCATGTAGTTATACCTAGGCCTTTCTGAGAAATTAGTCGCATATTCTCCAGAATGTCAGTTTCAATTCGTAGTTGGGTGACGAGAGCATTTCCGGTGTTCTGACAACGCAACCCCCAGAGCACATTGGCTTCAAAATTTCGCCAAGACTCTCGCCAAGCTCACTTGTTTTCGTTGCAGCGAAATCGGTTTTCACACTGTACAGACATGAACAGTACTTTCAAATGTATACAAAAGCTTTAAGGAGCACGAGCAGCGCATCAATGACAGGCCGCAAAACTGCCAGCACCTGCAAAAAAGGAGAAAGAAGAAACGGCCCGTTAGTGAAGCTGACAGGGCATTACCACAACAGCAGCTCTGGTTCAGACAGCGGCTGTCACAATGCATTGGCATGGGCGCAGCAAGAAGAGGACATGGGACTGAACGCCAGCCAGTGTCCATTCGGCAGTTACAGGAGTTTCGGCGTCTCGAACTTCCTGTCGTGGCATAATTGCTGGAAGAAAAGCCAGAAAAGCGTTCAAGGCCCGCTTGTAACATCCACACCCCACAGCATACCTTTGCCATATGGTTGCACGGGGTCGGAGCTGGTGAGCGAGCTCATGGTGGCGGGGAACACGGGGTCGGTCACAACAATCGCGGTCATGTCAGACGACGACGTGGTGTCGCCCAACACTTGAGTGGATCCACTCAAGCTCGAGCTGCTCATTCCAAACGCGGCTGCCACATCCGCCACTGCTTTCGGCCCCCCAGCGTCACTCCCCGCTACGAGTCCATTCTTGGCGGAAGTAGTGGGGTCGACGGTGCCGCGGTCGGTCCCAGTGAAGACGTGAACCAAGCCCGCGGCAGTCAAGGAGCCAGTGACGTTGGCGTAGAGATAAATTGGCTGGTTAAGAGCCGTGCTAAAGCTGAACCGACCGTTCTTGTACTGCTTGGAAGGGAATAGGATACACGATAGACAAAGGGACGGTCTGCGAGGTGTCGTGAGGAGGAAAGAAAGGAGTGCAAAATCCAGCCTTCATCATGTTCTAACATCTCCTATTGAGAACGATAGAAGCAACTTGCTTAAAAGGAAGAAGTAGGGGCATCCCACTATCTCAATGTTCTTTCCACAAGTGAAGAGACACTCACGTTGCCAGTTTGCATGTCAGTGGGTTGAATGCATTGGCTGATCGACATGAACTTGGCGAGGCGCGACAGCGCGTTCTTGGCATTGGCGGACATGCCGTTGAGGGCCGACACGGATCCCGACGAGGACACCACCGTGCTGAGCGCCTCGAGAACCGGGTCCGACGAGGTTGTCGCAGCCGGGTTGAGTGTCTTGTAGCCCGCGAGCGCGTTAGTCCAGCCGTCGTTAATGGGCAGAAGAAGGGAACCGCCTGAAATGTCGGTGGCATTGTCGTATCCGGCGGCGAATTCCACTATTCTCGCGGAAAAGTCGACGGGCGTGGGGCCCGTGTTGGTCGTGTTGCGGATCTGCGACAGAACGTAGGAGATGCATAGTGACGCGGAGAAAAGCACGGCGAAGGAGAGGGTGCGCGTCGACATTGGGTACCGGGCCATTATTTATGCAAAGGACTGTGTACTGACGGATGGGGGGCAAGGGAAGTGGAGGTTGCAGGGGGAGGAGAGGGATGTGGATTGGAATGTATTTGTATCAAGTGGCACCTGCGCGGGAGCCAACGTGAAGCGCACGGGAGGCAGCGACATAGCAGCCGCGTGCAAGGGTGAACGTGGGCAGCGCAGGGGAGGACGTGGGCAGGACGTGGGGGACTCACGTGAGAAGGACGAAACTGAGGTTTCGTGCCTTGACTGACTTTGGGGGACTTTCGCGTAGGACAGGTGGCGGAAGTCCAGAATTGAAGAAATAGGAATGTTACACGTGTGCAATTGCAGTGAGTTCTACAAATTGTAAATAGGAAGGAGGAATGCGGCTCGATGTCAGGGCTGGCCACCCGATTCGGCATTCCGAGCCGCATGTCCAGAAATCTAAAGTACAGTAGCATAAAAAAACATTCGTAGGATAGAGAGAGTAGCTTTGCTGTTTCTCCTTCTCTTTGTTGTTCCTTGCTTCTAAGGAAAATCCTTTGGTGAAATTCTCAGCCAGAAACACTGTGGGCGAAACCAATTTACACAGCGGACGGAAAGCAGCGTATTTACGCGGGACCAGAGACCGGGAACATGTGGATTGAAACACAAGCGTTACTGCCTAGAGGTGCTATACTGGTGCCCGTGATACTATACAGCGATGCGACTAACCTCAGTACTGACGAACGAGTAGTTGGGCATCCGGTGTACATGACGCTGGGTAACATTACAGTCAAGAACAGATGGCAGCCGCATGGCCATATCATGATTGCCATGCTGCCACCCTTGACTGGCGTGGATGCAAAAACCGAAGCGGGGAAGGAGACGCGCCGCGTGGTGTTTCAAAAAGCCATGGATCGCATCATGCAAGACTTCCGAGAGGCTTCTAAAAGGTTGGTAATTTGTACATTTGATCCATTTGCCACCTACTCTTTCCAAAGCAGTAGATTTTCATCCCGTGTCAAAATCAGATGTAATGTCATGCGTGTTCCTCTGTTTTTAATCCCTCACCTGCCTACACACTCCAAGAACGTGTTTAGAACGAACAACAACACTCTCTGTCTCATGACCTCCCTTATACTGTACCTATGCTTTCGTTTTACCATCACACACACATTCATGACAAGCCTACCCATCCCACATCCCACCCCTTTCAGTCACCCCCCTCTCCATCACATTCTATCTTGCTTATCACACACATTACACTCCACACAAGAACATCATGCAGATAACCCCCTTCTTCCTCCTACCCCTCGTTCTCTCTCTCTTCTACCACTTCTTAACTCATTAGTCCATCAGACACATGCCTTCCCCCTTCTCTCGCATGCTGAATCCGTACACCTTTTCCCTGCCCCACCCCTCGCTTTGTTTGGTACTCCACAAACAGTGGGATCATCATGCGTGACCCATTCGGTGAACGTCATGAGGTCTACCTAGCCTTATATGCCTACGTTGCAGACCAACCGGAGGCATGTAAGGTGGCAGGCACTTTTGCAAGCCACCAAGCGCAATATCCGTGTCACAGGTGTCTAGTGCGAAGAGAGGACATAAGCAACATGGAGATTTCATCCGAGTACCGAACGGAGGCGGGTCAGGCGGAGAAGGTCGAAGAGTTACTTGCAATACCGACACTTACTGCGCGGAATGATGCCGCAAAAGCCATGAGCATCCACCCAGTCAAGGTGAGGGAGGGAGACGAGATGACAGAGATGGGAGTGAGGAGGGATGAGAGAGAGGAAGAAGGTAGGATAGAGTTGAGAGTGAGGAGGGATGAGAGGGAGGAAGAAGGGAGGATATAGATGGGAGTGAGGAGGGATTTACAGGGAGGAAGATGTGAGGACAGAGATGGGAGTGAGGAGGGATGAGAAGGAGGAAGAAGCGAGGACAGAGATGGGAGTGAGGAGGGATGAGAGTGAGGAAGAAGGTAGGACGAGGACTGGAGAGAGAATGGATCAGAGGGAAGAAGGGAGGAGAGAGATGGGAGTGAGGAGGGAAGAGAGGGAGGAAGATTGGAGGAGAGAGATGGCAGTGAGGAGGGAAGAGAAGACGGAAGAAGGGAGGACAGAGATGGGAGTGAGGAGGGAAGCGAGGGAGGAAGAAGGGAGGAGAGAGATGGGAGTGAGGAGGGAATAGAGGGAGGAAGATTGGAGGAGAGAGATGGGAGTGAGGAGGGAAGAGAGGGAGGAAGATTGGAGGAGAGAGATGGCAGTGAGGAGGGAAGAGAAGACGGAAGAAGGGAGGACAGAGATGGGAGTGAGGAGGGAAGCGAGGGAGGAAGAAGGGAGGAGAGAGATGGGAGTGAGGAGGGAAGAGAGGGAGGAAGATTGGAGGAGAGAGATGGGAGTGAGGAGGGAAGAGAGGGAGGAAGAAGGGAGGAGAGAGATGGGAGTGAGGAGGGAAGAGAGGGAGGAAGATTGGAGGAGAGAGATGGCAGTGAGGAGGGAAGAGAAGACGGAAGAAGGGAGGACAGAGATGGGAGTGAGGAGGGAAGCGAGGGAGGAAGAAGGGAGGAGAGAGATGGGAGTGAGGAGGGAAGAGAGGGAGGAAGATTGGTGGAGAGAGATGGGAGTGAGGAGGGAAGAGAAGAAGGAAGAAGGGAGGACAGAGATGGGAGTGAGGAGGGATGAGAGGGAGGGAGATGGGAGGACAGAGATTTACAGCATCTCTTCACTGTCACCCACGCCCTACTCAACCCCTATCCCTTTCAGTTTCCAGGCCAGGTCCCCTCTTCTGATATACCTTTCACAACCCATCACTTTCCCCTCCCTTTGTTCCTCAACAGGCAGCAATATGGGGGTTGGCCTTGGGCGGAATGGATGTCGGCAACCCGTACAGGGCACTTCTTATCGAGATCATGCATGCTCTTGATCTTGGCACCTTCATGCATATCATCTCCTGCATCAGAGCCATGCTAAAAAAGAGGAAGGAAACACACGTGCTGAGAGAGCTAGATTTGGTCCTGCAAACAATAGCACGTGATACTCGAATCAGTGGTTTCCGGCTACCGGGTGGAGAGAAGGGTGGTTACTTTGCAGGTGCTGCAAAGTTTCAGGCCTTTGAACACCGTGCCATCATGCAAGTGTGCACGATTGTCCTTGCCGGGCGTGTAGATCAAAAAATTGTGGATGCTGTAGCTGCATTTGTCGACCTCTACATGCTGGCCTCCAGGAGGTGGTACCATACGGATAACACCCTCCAAGAACTTGACCAGGCAATCAAAAGGTACTCCGAGTTTCTGCCCTGCCTTCTCTCCCAATTGGTTTCTGTTCTCATTCCACTCCGTGCCCACACCTTCCATCCATTTCTGCAATTCCTATCTCTCCCATATCGGTCTTACCTTTCTTTCTCTCTATTATCACATCTCAATCTAATCCCTACCTTGTTCAATCTGATCTCTTCAAAAATCGGAACCTGTCACTGTATCTATCTCACCACTTTTCAACCCCATCTGTTTCCTAGATTGTGCCTTGTCTCTGTCCCTCCTTCATCCTCCCTCTCATCCCTCCACTCCCATCTCTCTCCTCCCTTCTTCCTCTCTCTCATCCCTCCACTCCCATCTCTCTCCTCCCTTCCTCTCTCTCATCCCTCCACTCCCATCTCTCTCCTCCCTTCTTCCTCTCTCTCATCCCTCCACTCCCATCTCTGTCCTCCCTTCTTCCTCTCTCTCATCCCTCCACTCCCATCTCTGTCCTCCCCTTTTCCTCTCTCTCATCCCTCCAATCCCATCTCTGTCCTCCCTTCTTCCTCTCTCTCATCCCTCCACTCCCATCTCTGTCCTCCCTTCTTCCTCTCTCTCATCCCTCCACTCCCATCTCTGTCCTCCCTTCTTCCTCTCACTCATCCCTCCACTCCCATCTCTCTCCTCCCTTCTTCCTCTCTCTCATCCCTCCTCTCTCATCACTGTCCTCCCTTCTTTCTCTCTCTCATCCCTCCACTCCCATTTCTGTCCTCCCTTCTTCCTCTCTCTCATCCCTCCACTCCCATCTCTCTCCTCCCTTCTTCCTCTCTCTCATCCCTCCACTCCCATCTCTGTCCTCCCTTCTTCCTCTCTCTCATCCCTCCACTCCCATCTCTCTCCTCCCTTCTTCCTCTCTCTCATCCCTCCACTCCCATCTCTGTCCTCCCTTCTTCCTCTCTCTCATCCCTCCACTCCCATCTCTGTCCTCTCTGTCCTCGCACCCATCCCTGCCCTGCCTTTGTCCTCCCTATCAACCCTTCTCACTCCCATCTCTCTCCTCCCTTTCTCCTCCCTCTCGTCTCTTGTCAGATTGATTCCAATGTTGAAGGATGTGTTTGGCGAATTTCAAGCATCCGAATTCAACATCGGCAAGGTGCACGGCCTTGTGCATTTGGTCGATGACATTCGACGCTCCGGTGTCCCCGTTCACTACAACGCCAACATGTTCGAGTTTTTTCACCAACCTCTCGTAAAGAGGGCATACCGTGCAAGCAACAAACGTGACGCTATGCCTCAAATCGTGAAGCATAGTGTCATGGCACGAATGCTGCAAGCTCTTGATGACTCGGACCACAACAAGGAGGATTCGCACCATCGAATGGTCGCCCTACAAAAGGTAGATGATGCACGGTATAACATAGTCCTCTAAACTGCTTCTAACCATCTTCTCTCTGTTTTATAACAAGTGCACCCCAATCCCGACCGCAGGCCATGGAAACTGGGAGAAACACACTCGTGGCCACGTCGCACAAGGTGAACTGGAGGGACTCTCGAGTTGTTGGCGGCGATCTTTGGCGGGAATACGAAACAGCAGCACCTGGCGACATGTTGCAGCTCCGCGCCTTGTTGTCACAACGAGAAGCCGATGGCGTTGAATTAAGCAACGAAATCCAAGTCAGAAAGGGCTTGGCTATACCAGGTGATGAGGACTTCACAAAGTATTCTAGTCAAACGCACTATGTGCGGGCAACTCCAATGTTCATGAAGGCACCTTGGTTCAGTGATGTTGCTGTTTTGG